GAGCGGGCGAGCGCCTCTCTTTGAGACCCATTCAGATCATTTTAGGGTTTTTGCTGTTACAAGCATTGCGAGGAATGACCCTGCACAAAAGTCATTTCACGCTGGTTCCACTGTAGGTGCAGACTGAGTTTCTAGAAGCAGACCTGCTTGGTTAAAAGCCCCGTAATTCACACCTGGTGGGTACTGATGGCCCGCCCTCTGTAGGACACTGTGTCAGGACTACATGAAGGTGGCAGCTTCCTCACAGCCTGGCCCCATACAGAGCACTGTCTTTAAGCCTGCAGGTTGAGGGTCAGTGGGTGAGAACACTAGACTCACATGCACTGTCCCCACTAAGAGGGAGGTCCAGCCTCCTCTTCTTCTTTTTGTCTTTTCATTTATTTAAGGTAGGAAAAGAAACAGGCTCTGCAGAGTGATTTTGGGCTAAGTAAAAGCAGGAAAATAAGTACATCGTACAGGATGAGAGCAGGCTTCCGTGAGGGAACACGGTAGCCAGTACAGCCTCTTCTACGCTCAAGAAACACTGCGCTTTTCCTTTAAAGCATTTACTCATATACCATTTTTACACTGAGACAATGCGCTTTTAAAAGTGGGTTTAGAGGGTGAGGATATAGCTCAGTGATACAAGCACCTGTTTGGCAAGTACAAGGTCCTGAGTTTGATTCCTGGAACCAAAAAAAAAAAAAAAGCAAAAGTTGGTTTGTGAGATCATTCATAGATTAGAGAAATGAATCTCTTATATAAATTGCAACTATTTTCCCTCTAACTTTGCTTCAAGTGTTTTCATCACACAAAAATGTTTCATAATGTAGTCAGATTTACTAAATTTTTTGGTTTATGATATTTATACCATGGTTAGAAGCCTTCCTACTCTCTGGTTATAAAAGAATTTTCTCCTGGCTTCTTTCAGTACTTTCTGGTTTCATTTTTCTTTTCTTTCTCTCTTTTTTAGGAAAGGAAGTCACTCCATAGTTCAAGCTGGTCTTAAACTTTGCGTAGCTAGGCTGGCTTCAAAATTGTGGCGATCCTCCTGCCTCTGCCTCCTGAGTCCTAGGGTTATAGGCATGGACCGCCACGTCTGACTCTGGTTTCATTTTTATGTCTCAAAACTTTTAATCCATTTGGACTTTATCCACACAAGGCATGAGATATAAATCCAACTTTTTTTCCTGGATGTCCACCTGGTTGTGCAATATTATTTGTTGAATAGTCCATCTTTTGTCACTGACCTGAGAATGCTAGTTTTATCATTCATAGTCCTTAAATTCTCTCTATATTATATATATATTGGGAGAAATACCATCTTTGTACTGTTAAGTTACATTGTCAAGAACACAATAAGCCTTTCCATTTGTTCAAATTTTCTTTGTACCTCAAGAACATACTCAGGTTTTCTTCCTACAGTTTTTGTGTATTTCTTGCTAAGGTGGCTTTGAGGCACTTTTGCGGGTTTTGTGTGGGTTTTTTTTTTTTCTTGCTGAGGTACAAAGAAGATTTTTAAAAGTATAGAAATGTACAGATTTCAGTATCTTCATCTTTTGCCACCTAAATGAGTTCTCTTATTGTTCACAGGAGCTTTTTAGTTAAGTATCATACTTTCCAGGTCTACAATCATGCCATTTTCAGAACAGAGAGTTTACCTCCTGCTTGAGAATTTGTAAACCTTTAATTTCTTTTTCTTTTCTATTTGCTAAACAGATTCTTAACACCTATAAATCCAATGTCTTTCTTTTTTTTTTGTGGTGCTGAGGATCATACTTAGAGTCTCACATTTCTAGGCAAGCATTCTATAGTATCTATAGTCCCCTTTTGAAATGCTTTGAAAGCAAATGTTTTTTGAGCTTTCATCTAGTGCTTTTGAAAATTAAAATCAACTATAGGTTTAATACCATCTTATTCATTTTGCTTCCAAATATAATTACCCATAAGGCCTTAATTTTGTGAACCAAGTTTTGTGAACTACGGTGCCTTTTATGCATTAAATAACCACTTGCTGGTAAAGAATAACCCATCCTAACGCCAAAAGTAACAAAGAAAAATATGCAAAGCTTGGGCAACCCATGTGGGGTTGGCTGCCTCCCCACTGAGCATGTCATCAGTGCAGGCATGGATGTACTTCAGGCCGCAGCCTAAAGTTTCCTCCCCATTTCTGCTTTTCCTCTAACCAAGGGCAAAGCCACTCTAACTGTATAAGAAGGAATTCAGAGAGCTGCCTGTATATCTAGGTATGTGGAATTTCTCTGAGCAAACATTTCATGGGAGGAGGTTCAAAGTAAAAGCTGTTGGGGGGTGGGGGGATCTTAAACCTTTTAGCTCAAAGTACAGTACTATGTTGAATACCAAAGGAAAAAGATACTCTTGCTTGTTATCTTCTGCAGTGCTTTTTCACTGCTCTTAAAAGCTCATAGCTAGTATAACACCTTCTTGATACTCAGCCACTGCTCTAAGAGGGTGTGCTATACTCCTATCAGCAGAGGAGGAAGAGACACTCGCTGTGGCCCAAAGGGGGTATTTAGAAAATGTTCTTTGGCTCGACAGGCACACTTCTCATGTTCTCCATTTTTTCAGTCTTGGCGCTGCTCTCCCGTGATAAATATGATAATTTCCATCTTAAACAAACACCTGCTTGTGTAGGGAAAGGAAATGGAGCCCTCAAGCCTGTTTCTGTCTTGCTCACTCTATCCAAGAAAGCCCAATAGTCTTGTGTGCACCGGAAAAATTAGTATTGGAGCCGGGCACGACGGTACACACCCGTAATCCCAGCACTCAGGAAGCTGAGACAAGAGGATTGTCATGAGGTCAAGGTCAACATGGGCTACTTTATGAGTTCAAGGCCAGCCTTAACTACATAGGTAGACCCTGTCTCAAAAAAAAAAAATAGTATTGGAAGTGGGGGTGAACGGACTGGCTGGCGAGGTGGAAGAGATGGTTACTGGACAGACGGTCCTGAACATTTTTTTTTTCCCACCTTGGTATGAGCCTGAGCAGGCCCCTTGCCAGGCAGTCCCACCCAGCCTTGACCATTTGGGTTTGAATACCAGCTTTCCCACTTGCTGACTGCAGTACCTTAAATTCTCTCTGCATGAGTCTTCTCCGCTATAAAAGCATGATGAAAACAATACCTACAGCAGGTTTTGCCAGGTCCACATAAGTTAATACATGAGGCTTTCAAGAGCTTAGAAAAGTACCTGGCAAACATCAACAGTTCAGCGTGACTGCTCTGATCATCATCACTATAAGATATAAGGTTCCCATGGAATTATAATTGTCATTCTATTCACAGTAACAGGAGACTTTGTCAAACTCTGCTTAAATGGCAACCTTCACAATTCCATTCTTTTTCAACTTCATCTGCAAGTGCAGTTATAAATTAGTGTTCCTGAAAAAGTCTTTCTTTCCAAGTATTAAGTAATTTACCTTCAACCTGCTAAAACATTCTAGTTTCTTACTCCCCTCAGTTACATTATGCCTAATTTAGATATGATTATGATATCTGACAATAGCCAGAATTTTAAAAAATAGAATAAGTACTTCCCTCTGCAAATAATTTCCTTTCATTATCCCTATTAATTTTACAAAAAAATGCCACCAAGATGGTTAAGTATATTCTGCCTCCTATGTAGTTAAAACCTAATTGAGTCTTTCTGGAGTATCTGGAAGGTTAGCATTTTTCTACCTGAACTTGCAACCAGTCAGAAGATTATGAAATAAAGTTTTTTTAAAGAGCAGTAGATTAGGAGCTATTACTGTGAGTTATATATAGTAAGGAGAGTCTTATTTTGTGCTATTTCTCTTTCTGCTTTATATTCTTAAGTAAGTTTGAAGGTTTGCGCATACTGGTGTTATGATACAACAATTTCTTACGTGGGTCTTAACCAAGACCTGTTTGATAAACAGTTCTAGATGGTTGGGCCCAAAATGCCTTGTTTTACTTAAATTATTATTTCTAATGGCTTTTGCAAAATTCTTATTCAGGCTACACATATATTTTTCAGAGTGGTCATGCAAAATCAATCCACATCCTCCTTTAGTAGATCTCAGCACCTTGAGGTGGTGGCAATGAACTATATTTTTTCTCATTAGTATTCTCAATGATACACACAGAGCCATTCACCTAGAAATCACTACTTCATCATCATAATTTTATAGATATTTGTAAGGTGCTTACATTGTGCTAATTGGTAGGGAAGAATAAGACTTTGTAAGTTCAGCTAGTATGTTCTTGATAAGGACTTTCTGTGTTCACAGAGAAGAAAGGAGGAGGACCCCTCGGCCTTGCCCTCACAGCCCTTTTTTGGCAGTGCACTTACCGGAGACTGAACCTTGGCCATTCGACCACTAAACTGTGGACCACTTTATTTTACTACTTTGAGACAAGGTCTAGCTAAGTTGCTCAGGCTGGTCTTAAATTTATGATCCTCTCTGTGGCCCCTTCATGCTTACCCTGATGAGATTGAGATTGAACTGTGTATGTTCTGTGATGGAATTGTTGGGAGCCAGTGGATGCTTTCATTTCCTAGGCAGCTGGGATTACAGGCATACGCCACCACGCCTGGCTTCTCATGTCTGTTTCTTGTGCAAGAATCTATCACCATAAAAGCCAATTATGCATGGTTGCAATGAAAAAGCAAATGTAGATGATTTCTACTTTGAAATAAATAGCTGGAGAAGAAAAAATATACACCAACAATTCTATGAAATTACTCACTTGGTAAAACCTAGTAGTTTTTGCAGTTCTAGCACTGTTATGACAAATATCTTTACTGTCTGCTGAGTTTTCTCCATATTTAGCCTGGTCACTAACTTACTGTTCATTAAGGATTTTGCAAATAGTTTTTCCTTATTTGTCCCTGGCCTCTTGTAGACTGTAAGCTCCCTGCAGGCCAGAGCTCTACCTAGTATCTCCTTTTGCTTTCCACTATGCCTAGAAGGATAACAGGTTTTTCACAAGCATTCAATACTTTTGTTGATGGACAAGGAAGAAGTATGGAAGATTTTACCTTGGAGGAACTGGTAGCCTGGGACACAATGAGCCTGCATTTGGACTCTGTGTGTAGTTGAAGGAATTCAGACTATAGACACACAGGAAAGACCCTGGAAGAAAAGACATGGAGATCAGACTATTTTCCTATATCATCACAGCTTCCCAGGGGAGCTCCTAAGAAAACCACAGCAGTTTTACCAAGCCAGAAAGGGGATAGAAACCGTACTCCAATTCAGAAAAAGGTGACTGAAACCCACCCACCCACCCACACACACACAGATACAAACTGGGATTAAGTTCTCTCCAAAACTCCACATTCAAAACTAAAAGTTATACGATCAGTACTCAAATGATTTGACTATCATTTGAAGATGCTTATCAAAACTTGATATTTTAAAGTTAGTGTAGTAAATAATTTTTAGAATTCTGGTCTTTCATTTTTCAGGCACATATAATTTGCAGTGGGTTGGTTCAAATTTCTTTTACTTTCCTTTGTTTAATCCTCATCACATGGATCTAAACAATGGACTCACAGCAAGTTTCTACAGTTACACAATGCTTTCCGGTATAATGTACAACTATCCTATTGGCCAATGAAAGCATCCACTGGCTCCCAACAATTCCATCACAGAACATACACAGTTCAATCTCAAGCCTTTGGGCTGTGATTGTCTGCTCTCTCCTCTGTACTCATTGTGAATGATCATCTTGCTGTAGGGGGTAGGGAGCACAGGCAGAGCAGCCTGAGTTTCCAATAAATATGTATAACTTAACAAGTTCACGAGAAAATGTTTTTGTTCTTCCACACTAGAGCCACCTGTGGCCAGGTGTGGAGGTGCAAGCTTGTAATCTCAGCTCGGGAGGCTGAAGTAGGATGAGTGCTGCGAGTTTGAGGCCAGCCTGGGCAGCAAAGTGAGTTCAAGGCCAGCCTGAACGGCATAAAAAAAACCCGGTCTCAAAAAGACAAAAAAAAAAGAGGAGGCATCTGCAAAGTATAATCACAGCTTTTCAGAGAAAGCAGGGTTAGGGTAATTAACCACACTGGTGCCTACAGACTTACTCTTTAATAGGGTATAGGAGAGAGAGCCCGCCCCTTGGTGCCTACCATTGGTGTCTGCAAAGAGCTGGATTTCTTCCAAGGTGCTGAGCTGCTCTTCAGGACAGCTGGACACACACAGGGTAGTGGAACCGAGCCTCATATCTTTGATTTCTGGGTTGCAGGAATTCATAAAGAACATGTGTCTAAGGAGATGGATGAAAAAGAACCTTATCTTAGGGCACTGCCAGTCAAAGAGGACTCAAAGAAATCCCTGAAAAGCACATTTGGACCCCAAACTGTTCAAATACACTTCTGAGAACAGCTGAATACAGGGAAGCAGTAAGAGGAAAGAAAGGCCAGAGGCTGGGAATTAAGGGCAGTTTAAGAGCCAGAACTCTGAAGCAACCTTTCTTCCGATCACTCAGAGGCTGGGTAAGTTGGGCCATGTGAGCAATACTGGTTGTTGCCGTTAGTGAGTTCTGTGCTGGTGGCGGCAGCTCTTGAAGCCCAGTGCTCATCCCACGGCTGAGATCAGGCGATGTTAGAAGAGTGAAGCAGGCTGCCTGCAATGGGGGAGACCCTGAGAGGGGATCCAGAGCCACTTTCTTCCCGGCTGGGAACCGGAGAAGAGAAGGCGAGAGGAGAGGGGAACAGACTTCAGAGTGCCTTCTAAATATATACTGTGTTTTAAATTTTTAAAAAATGTGTTAAGATCTCCATAAAATTTGCCATATCAATTATTCAAGTGTGCAGCTCAGTGTCAGTAAGTACACTCGCACTGCTGTGCTGCTATCACCACCATCTGCCTGCAGAACTCTTTCCCGCCCGCAAAACTAAAGTTCTGCTCCCATTAAACAGCTCATCTTCCCTTCTCCTCCAACCCTTGACAAGCACCATTTCACTTTACTTACGAGTTTGACTACTTTGGACATTTTGCATAAGTGGAATTATATGGCACTTGTGTTATTGGGCTTCTGATACATTAAGGATAATAATGCTAACGATTAACATTTATTATGTCTGAGCTCACAAAGTATCTCTGTGGATCCTTAAAACAGCCTTGTAAGAGAAGTATACTTACCAGTTTCAAAAGGTGAAAACTGGGTCTGGAGAGGCTAAGGATTCGGCACAAGGACCCAGATATGGAAAGCAGCAAAGAGCGAATCTGAGCCTAGGATTAGCTGCTTCTGTACCGGTGGTCTTATTACCACACATCTGGCCTCTCTTTTTATGAGACAGGCTAAGAGTTTTGTTTAGGAAAACAGTTTCAAGGCTCCAAATGACTAAATTACACAAAGTTCTGAAATACAGGGGCTGGGGATTTAGCTCAGCAGCACAGCACTTGCCTGGCAAGCACAAGGTCATGAGTTTGATTCCCGGTACTGGAAAAAAAACAACAACAAAAAAAGAAATCCAGCCCCTCTATAGTAGGGAGACTTAACTTAGACACTCACGTTTTGAGAGTCATGTCCTGTCCGGACAGAGGGGCCCCTTCCACTGGGGAGTTCTTCTTGCCACACACGTTGCCATAGCTGTCATAGCCGAAGAGGAGTCGCCCTGCGGCTCCAGCCACCACCGCGTAGCCCATGATGAACACCTAGCAAAACCCAGGGCACATGAGGCTGCGGCCACAGGGCAGAAAACACCACCCCCTGCATCCCTGAGGATGCTGATGCAAAATGGAACCACAGGAAATGTTAAGTCTCACAGTACTTCTCTCCTGCTCAGCAGTAACCCCAACTGGTCAGGGTTCTGCTGCTTCCAGGCCGGCTCTCGCAAGTCAGGTGGAATGGCACCCACACTCAGATTCTCCTCACTGTCTAACCACCTGTCTCGGTTACTTGTCTCTCGTTGCTGGGACAAAATACCTGACACCCAAAATGAAGGAAGGAAAGGTTTATTTCGCTTACAGTTTGTGAAGGTTTCAGTCCGTACTTGGCAGATTACAAGGCAGAGTGGCACGTGGCAGAGCCTGCCCCATGGCCGCATGAGGCTTTGGGGGGACACACAGACATAAACCATAACACCACCTCTCTGTCCTCTTGCTTTCTTCTTCAAGAGCCTGTCATTTTTATTTTGGGCCTAATTTCATTGGGAAAACAATTTTTTTCTTGAGGTTTTTGGTTAATTTTAGTGTATCAAGGCTATGATAACTATTTTTCACTGAGGTTTTTTTTTTCCTTTCTTCTTCTGAAAATTTTCTTTCTGTTTTACTTTTAGTGAACTCTGTAGAGTTCACACAGTTGTTGAGGCCACACAGTTCACAACAACTCTGAAAATAAGATTCTGGAACAACTACTTAAAAATCACAAAAATAAAGAACACAAGAAAAAATAATTTCAGGAATTTTTGTCAGACAAGAATATATTGCAACCATTAACCATGTTTACACAATGTGTAATATTTAATATTTCAGTTCAAACAACTGTTCCATTGATACATCTGACAGACCCTCTGTTAAGACCATATATGTTTCTTCTCATAACACAAATGTTGTGCCGCAAGTTTCCCAATCTATAATACATAAAATACCACTGAGTACTGTACTCGATACTTACAAATTCATTCTGGGACAGAGGTTATAGTAGCTTACACTCAGTAACTTACAGTATGGATTTATTTCCCAAAGGTACACTGAAATAAAACTAACAAACATTCTTCAAGCGTCCAGTGTGTGCCAAAGACTTTTAACGGGGGACACAAAGATGAACAACATGGAGTAGGACTTACCAACGGGGGGCGGGCCTTGTCAGGAAGGAAGCTGCCTGCTCAGGCTCCTCTGGTCAAAATGACCAGATTTTAGAACGAACAGATCACTTGTGCTAGGAGACGGAATTGCTCGTCCTTTACATAAAAGCGGTGAGTGAGTGTGCTGTAACTTTGTGCCCGTGTGCCTGGCACAGCAAGCTGACCCACTTTTTCCATGCCTGCCTCTTCTTCTAACCTGTAATGCAGTAAGTAGAGTCCTGACTGTGTTCTGAGTTAGGGGGAGGGAAAGGATCTTATGCTTCTGCTCAGCTTCCCAGACCTAATAATGAAATAATACTGTCCAGTTACCAGGATTCTGGATGTGCTTTCTCTTTTGGAGAGCTTGTGGGATAAGAAAGGAGAGGTTTTAACGGAAGGAGTGAATAGGAGTTGGGTTTTCCTGAGTACCCACCATAACACTACTAATATTTTCAACTATTTTAGTTCTAATTTCAAACATGAAAGTGCAATTCCAAATCAGGTGATACAGGAAGTATGGTTACCAAGGAGGTCAACTATGTCTGGGGAGATCAGGGACACTGACCAGGGACATTGAACAATGAATAGGAAAGAGAATTTGGGAGAGGCCACTGAAGAAGTATCGGCAGATATGACCTGGGCTTGACATCTGCTTTCCATTCTGTATATTTTATGCAAATAGAAACACAGGCTTGAGCTCTTTCTATTTGCAAGAGACCGTTCCTGCTTGTAATACGGCACCTTATTGGAAGGGTTCTTTGTCCAGCCCTAACTCAGTACCACCAAATAATAACCCTGTCCAGCATAGGACCAGTCAGGACATCCATTACAGAATCCAGAAGGGGAAAAGCCAGGCAGAAGAAAATACTCCTTGCTCTGTTTCTAAGACATATCTGTGGTTAAAAATGTTGCAGATGACACAAAAAGCCAGCCAGCTCAGAAAGAGTTCTTATTAAAAGAACTAGACATAGTCAAGAGAACTTGAGCACAATGAAATCTTCAGGCTTATTTTGCAAATGAAATGTAATTTTAAAACGGTTTTCAGTCCTGTGCAATATCTCAGCTGGTTCATAATTCTTCAGACAGCTGCTGGCCGTCTGGAAGGGATGCACTGGGTTTGAGCATGGAGCGGGGGAGAACATCATTAAACAATGTGAACAGCACAGGATCCCAGCTGCCAGGCACAAGGCAGGGCAGCTGCTTCCTGCAGTGGTTTTGCACAACAGAAAAGTCAGATAGAGAAAGAGCCATCTGTGGGGAAGGTAAGCAGAAGGCACGTAGGTTCACTGCCTCTTGCAGCTCCTTGAGGAGAGCTTCAAGGGCCACAGTATAAGCGACAATGACAAAAACAAACAAACAAACGAGCAGTTAGCCTTTCAGACCCAGGCTTCCGCTGTGCCTATAACCAAGTCTGTCTATGTGAACCCAATCTGGAACGTCAACGTAGGAACAAACGCCTTGCTTACTTGGAAGGAGAACCAACGCGGCACTTAGGATCTATTCAAAGTGAATTCTGCTCAGCAGAGGTGATTACTGTCTGGCAGTTATTATAAGGTTTTATAATTAATCATTTACCATGCGGCAAACAGCACGCCCCCACCTGGATGATTCCATGAACTCGCCTCTGAAAGGGTTGAGTGAGGCTTTGCTGCTCCTACAACTCTAAGTAGGAAAGCGTCAAGATTCAGCTTCAACAAGAGTCCCCTAGGACTACGATGACACAGTTTAGTGAGACTGCCAGGAATCACCTACGGCGGGAGACAGAGTGGGAGCCGTCACTGCCTATCGAACCAGAGGGTTCACGTCACACTGCTGTAGAGTACACCGCGAGTACGAGTAAAGCACAGCTGAGGTTAACAGCAACTCCTTTCTAGGCTTTCTCTAGTGTTGTTTTGTTGCGGGCCACAAAAGCTTGAAGAAGATTTGACGTAGGGGTGTGTCAGGTGGTGAAAGAGCTTCTGCTCTGAGAGCGGAGAGGTCACGCTGGCTTTGCTGATAGGACCCCACCGCACCTGTGCTGCCCCCGTCTTCCTTTCCTGTTCATTATGTACGTTCGCAGTCATCAGTACGAAACGAAGCACGGGGCGGAGGGCCCAGGAGGTGAGGAAGTGCAGCCTGGGTGTACGACAGAAGCCTCTCACCGCAGTGCAGACATGAAGCAGTTAACATCTGAGGCACATTTACTTCGGGACACACAACACACGCTGGCGTCTTCCCTGCCGAGCACCCACACTTACCAAGCCAGTCCAAAAGAGAAAGAAGAGGAGTAACCAAGCTGTGTCCGTGCATTTCCGATAAATCTGGGGTCTCCACTCTCTTTGCCTGGGAGCTGTTTCTTCGGAAACCTTCCAGAAAAAGAGACAATTGGAAAAAAGAAACCAACCAACCAGCTAGTACCAACCGAACTCAAACTACTCCAAGACTGCACAGAGTAACCGATCTGTTATTTATACTAATTAAACGTCACCCGTGGCTCTTCACAGAGCTTTAGAAACGCTGGGTCGGCGCAGTGCGCCCAGTCCCGGGCGCCGAGTTCCCGCCTGGGGGCGCAGCTGCGGGCACCGCGCTCGCCTGCGGCAGCCTCTCCGCCCCGGGCGCCCG